TTTTGAAAATAATTTTTGAATTGAGATTTGAAAATTTTGTTTAATTATGAGTTTTAAATTTTTTTTAATCTGAATTATGATTTAAAAAACAAACCAAACACTACCTAAATATTTCTCATCATGCATGGCACGGCTTTTTTCTAATAATTACTACGTACACATTAGGGCAAGAATATTATTTCCACAAATCATTTTTTATCCCACCCTTTTACGACATTATTAATTTTAGGGATATGTTTGACAATAATTTAAAAAGTCACAATTTTTATACTTTTTTTTTTTGTTTTTTTGTCTTTAGTAATTTATTTTAAACTCTGTGCTATTATTATTTTTTAACTAAATACTTTTCAAATTCTTTTAAGTATAGAAGGATCTAAAAGGTATAAAAAAAAATTTACAAATTCATATACAAACAAATAATTTTTATAGATTTTTAGTGACCTTTTTTTCAAAAAAAATTGATTTTTTTAGAGATTTTAATCTAATAATAACTAAAAGTGTTTTTTTTTATTATCAACAAAAAAAATAGAAAAGTATTTGCCAAATTAAATCTTAATTGAAAATTTTAAAATTAGACAATTTCAATAATTAAAAATATATTAAAATAAAGAGTATAAATTTTGAATAAAAACTAGGCACGAGATGAGGGTATCAAACACTTTATGAGATTCAAATTCATAATTATTCCTAATGTGCTATTGATGGTCCAACTTTTTATTTTTTTTAATTAAATAGAAAATATTATAAATATTAAAATAGTTTCCATATGAGGAATAAACAAACAAATTAAACACTAGGCGTTTTAGTACAAGGAAGAAATGCTACAAAAACAAATAAATTTAACGTGATCAGGAAAAAAAAAAAAGCAAATAAATTTAACAAATTTTTAAAAGTCAATTTTTGGTTAAAAAATTTAGTTTCCATGTGAGGAGTAAACAAAAAATAAATAAATAAACAAAGGTGCTTTAATACAAGGAAAAAATGCTATACAAGTAAATAAATTTAACAAAATTTTAAAAATCAATGTTTGGTTAAAAAAATCATTAATTATTAAGTTGTTGCCATCCACTGCAACAAAAAATCATTAATTATTAAGTTGTTGCCATCCACTACAACAATAGAATGTCACATCAAAATTTTATTTAATTACAAACGTTTTTTAAATAACTTTTCATATAGACAATTTTTTTGGAGTCCAAAAAAATATATAATAATAATAATAATAATAATAATAATAATAACAGTACTCAAGGTGTGAATCCCATATAGCCATTTGTGATTGATTTTTTTGGGAAAAATATAATAATCATAATAATAATAATAGTACTCAAGGTGTGAATCCCATATAGCCATTTGTGATTATTTTTTTGGGGGGGATTTATTAGATTTTTTTTTTAAGTGTTTGTATCTTAATTAGTTCATAAGATATTTTTATATTTTAATAAGTCTTATTATTTGAATATTTGATCTACTAAATATTAATTCTCATATTTAAAGTATTTTATGTACATTTCTACCTTTATAAATATTTTTTGAATAGTTAGTAATTTAGTGATGTGAACATTCATATTTTATAATGTGAATATTCATATTGCCGGTGTAAATATTCACATCATGGAATATTCACACTGTAAATGTAAATAGTATTGTGATATTTTGATAATTATATCACTCATAAGACTTATTGTAATATAAGAAAATAATGTGAATTAATGAAACGTAAATAGATTTTTTTAAAAAAATCTATGAAAAAATACCCCATTTTTTTATGGGTAAACTAAACTCCTTTAACTATGACCCTTTTTTGAGTTACCTCCTTAATATTTAAAACTTCACAATTAACCCATTCAAGTTTTACCTTGTGAAAACTCTTTTCCTTAGTAAATTTGGATGGAAACATGTCACATGAGTAGGCCATGACATATTAATTACATTTTTAAGACAAAACTGGCCTTATTTTTCTTACCAGTTTGACTAATTTGTATGATGAAAATCTAAAATGCTATTCTTTTGTTGAGATGTAAAATTAGAGACAGAAACGTTAATTTCTAAGAACTTGTAGATACCAAAATAGATGGAGGCAATGAGAGGTACAACGGAGGAAAGAGAGGTTGCAAGTAGAGGCGTGTGTGGTGCGGCTCAGATAGCTGGAGAATAAAATTATAAACTAAACTATGAATGGCGGATTGATAAATAATCAAACCGTGATTTGGGCGGTTTAGAGTGGTTTCAATTTGCTTGTTAATTGAATTTTTTTAAAACAAATATCAAACATTTACATTGAAAAATCTAAAATTCTCCAAGATATTTGATTTGTGATTATGTATTAATTTTAAACGGTAAATAACAATCTCAATCAAACAATCAAAGACAAATTGACACAATTATTTAACGTGAAAATGCCACAATTGGAGCGCATCCAACTGTGATAAAAAAATCACGGGCAAAAACCACAAAACAATCTACTAAAAAAAGAAAAAAGAAATTATACAAGTGTACCCTCAATTACTTAGTGACTCTACGATCGAATTGAACCGACCCCTATGTGCCTCTTTCACCACCGTCTTCACCTTAGAATTGTCTTGCCCAACGTTGAATCCACAACGCTGATGTCGAATCAACGATGATGAGCCACTCCGAAATTTACTGAAGTTTCAGGCCAAAATTCTACAAAATCCACCAAAGAACAAGTCTTTGTTTTGTGAAAAAACGAAAATAAACAAACCTTTGATGATATTGATATGAAATTCATGGATCCATTGATTACTCTTAAATCATCAAAGAAACACTCAGAAAGCACTCTCAAATATAAAACACTTTAAATCTTGTTCCTCTATGAAAATCTAGACCGCACAAACCCTAAAAACAGCGAACAATGCATTTTATAGAAAACAGGATCACGCAGATCGCTCGAGTACAAATTTTACCGCTCGAGTAGTGTGACTAAAGGCGGTGTGAAACATATAGGCTGACTGTTTGAGCGCAATTTTCACCGCTCGAGCGATAAAAAGTTCAGGCACTCTACAAAAATACTGGATGATCTGATTTTTTGCTCGAGCTCACAAATGACCGCTTGAGCGGTCAAATAACTTTGATTGCATTTTTACTTTTTGCTTTGAAGAGTTGCCTCTCGACCCCACCATGGCGTTGTCCCAGACCGACATAGTCATCGAAGTGGTAAACATGAAATGATTAAGATCACAAACTCCTCTGCATAGGCACAATTCGGATTGGATTCGTATCTAAATACTCATAGCCTCACTGAAATAAAAGACCGAATAAAATTACAATTGAAAGGAGTTTTGTCAAATGGAAATTGTCAATTACAAAAACTTAACATGCATAATATATGATATTAATTTGTATAATATTTTTCGTATATAAACACAATCTAATTTTACATAATAGTTTTCATATATTATATAACTACTAATTTATAACAAATTTCACATCTTAAATATTTGTCGCACTTATTTTTACTTTGATATTTTATTAAAAATTAAAAAAATTATGTGTTAACTATAACAGAACGAAGCGATGATGAAGATGATGATTAAGTTATAATCAAAGGGTAAACATGTTAATGGTGCGAATGACGTTCATAATTTATAAGGGGGTTTGCCAAATTTAAAAATTAGGGGACAATTCATAAATAAGTTATAGTTAACGGGGACTTGTTATAATTTGCCATGTTTTAATTATATATTTTTTTAAAATTTAATAGGTTTGTTGATGATATATCTATTTTTAGGGGATATGATATTAGGTCTAATAATTGGTTTTTTTTTTTTTTTGTTGGGATAAAGGACATAATTAATGAACTGCTTGGTGGAAAGAATAAATTATTGTTTTGAAGTAATTTTTAGTATCATATATTTTTACCCATATTGCCACTAGATGGTCACTTGGCAGCTTGAAAAGTTGTCGGTAGAGATGACTAGTGGTAGTGATATTGACAAATAGATAGATTATATAAATAGATAGGCGACATATAGATAAATAAGGAATGTAATGTGAAATATAGGTGGATAGATAAGTGACGTGTACAGTTATGTAGATAGACTGGTAGGAATAACATGTATTTCAAATTGTTTTGTCCTTTTGATTCTAAAAGAATAGAATTTGAAACTATTGCTTCAAAAGTTTTAAAATTTGAGTGAAAAAAATATTTGAGACATCTAATTTATCATCTCTAACGATGTGCTTGATAAATATCAAATTTTAATTTGTCAAATATTTTATTATATGGAGTCTAACCGTCAATATCATATTATTAAAAATAATTTAAGAGTGATAAATTAAAAAATAGAACATTGTTGTTTGATTTATGGTCTGAGTCCATTTTTTTTTTTTTACACCTATAGAATTTATACTCAACTAGACAGATAAGTAAAGTACAAAATATTAAAAAAAGGGAAAAAAATGTTAACTACAAAAAATCAAGAGAGTAAAAAATAGTTATTTTTTTAATAAAATTTTAAATATATATTTTTAATTTTTAAGTCTTCTATACTAAATTGATAAAGTATAATTCTTTGACAAATTTTTTTTCAAAAAACTAAAATTAAAAAATATATATATATTTTTTATAAAAAAAACTATTTTATTACATGTGTCATGCATTCATTTTAAAAAATTAAGAATCATAATAATATGAATTTTTTATTTTTTAAAAAATTTAGTAACATTATTTGAAGCGTAATAATTGTATTATTAAAAAATAAATTTAAAAAATTAATATTAATAAAATGTAATAATTATATTATTAAAAAAATTAAATAATTCAAAATTAATATTTTGAGGGATGAAGTAAAATTTAAGAAACTAAACAGCAATCATTTCAACAATAAATTTATAATTTATTTGGAAAGAAAATAATTAATGTTAGTTTATGTCAATCTCTCAATTGAGATGCTGTACATAAATAGCCAAGCAGCCCTATTAAAACTTTTTTTTTTTTTTTCGAAAAATCTTATAAATACATGTTTTGTTTATTATTATTATTATCAGAGAGAGAGAGAGAGAGAGAGAGAGAGAAGAAAAAAAAAGAAAAGAAAAGGATGGAGAGAGAGGTGTTTTGACCTATCACTTTCTGGATCTAGGGTTTCTTTTCGTGACAATTCGTTCATCGTTGTGTCATCAAACCCTAGTTAAAACTGTTCGGGACTATCTATCAATCGATTTTATCAATTCGGCCACAGATCCACTAAAATTTTTCAACAATCACAATCTTCCGTAGAAAAACCCTAATTTTCTCTCCCCAACGGATCATTATTTTTATTTTTTTGTGTGTAAAATTGGAAACGATGAATTCAATGGAAACCTAAAGGCGATTCATTTTGATTTCCATGAAAGAAGAAATCATCATCATCATCATAAATCATCATCATCAATCATCATCATCATCATCATCGATTGATTTGAAGCGAACTTTGAGAAACTCTTGATTGATTGTTTTTTTTTTTTGGGTTTGTTTTGAGATCTGGGAGAATGTATAAATCGGTTGTGTATGAAGGGGATAAGCTACTGGGTGAAGTAGAGGTTTATCCTCAGAATCAGAATCAGAACCAGGACCAGAACGGTGTTGTTTTTGACAAGGAAATCAGGATCTCTCATTTTTCTCAACCGAGTGAGAGGTGTCCACCACTTGCAGTGCTTCACACAATTACCTCCAATGGTGTTTGCTTCAAAATGGAGTCCAAGTCGCACTCACAGGACTCGCCGCTGTACCTTTTGCACTCCTCATGCAGCAGAGAGAACAAGGTATTATTGCCCAACTCCAACCAACAAAATGATGATGATAATAATAATAATCTCAAGTTAAAACTCAAACTCAATACTCAGAAACAAAATAAACCCTAACCTAATTCAAGAGTTGCCTTGATTCTCTCTCAAAAAACAGAGGACTTTGGACATATTGCACAGAGACCCATATCGAATTACAAGTGAATTTTGAACTAATTTGACTTACATTTATGCAATTTTGCCCCAATTTTGGACTGATTGACAGCACCCAGGCAAATTTTAAATACCCAGTTTCTGATACTGTTAACTGATTGATACATGATGTGGCTTAATTCCTGAAATTTTAAATGGTGGTGCTTCTTGCTGGAACTCATATGATGCTGAGAATATTCTATGTCGGATTTGATAGACTGAAAGTAGTTCTGGATATGTGGATTTAATTGGGCATTTTTGTTTTGATGAGATGAATGAAGAAATGTGTTTTGATTTTTTGAGGAAACCTAAAACTTTGCATGAAAAATTGTTGTTGCTGTGTGGGGTTTAAATTGTTGTAAGCTCATGTCCTCTTTTTCTTGTTGTATTTTTGTCTATACTTTGGTCGTGGCTGGCCCCATCTATGGTTTCCACCCTTGTTGTGCCTGTATGATGTATGTCCCCTGTATGATGCATATATTTCCCATATTTTTTTTCTATAATATCAGCTTACTTTAATTTCTGGGGGAAGAAAAAAGTTTATGCTGTCTTAAGTTGATTATGCTTTTCAGACTTGAAGAGAATGGGAGAGAAGACTTGTTTGTTGTTGAAATTTCATTATGCAGTAATACATGTTATTATTTAAAAAGGGGCTATCTAGTACACGAGGTTTCTGCTATAGCGGGCTCTGGGAATGGCATGATGCACACCTCCAAACTTATGCCGTCAAGGACATTAATGGCAAACCTTACTATTGGGCCAAGGCACCCTTTCATACACGTTATTACTTATTAGACATAAAATTGCACACCTAATAGAATTATCAATGGAAGTTTGTCTGACTTATGACTTGGTATTGATTGAGAAGGACCTTTATCTTTCTTCCCTCTAATATATCTAACTAGTGTTGTTATATGTGTCTCCCTGCAAATATGCCTGGAGTTTGTTGTTTGAACATAAGCATGCTTATGTTGTTTCACTTTCATGTTTTGCAGCATCTGAATAGAGTTTTTGGATAAATTTTGCTGCTGTTTTGCCTTTGTTTTATTTTTATTTTTATGTAGTATATATATATATATATATTTGTGGCTTGTGTTTTTCCCACGGTCAACTTCAGACGTAAATGTAAAATTTTTATTTTGTTTTATCGACTTATTTTGATCCAATGCAAAATGGGCATTGATGGTGTTCTAACATTCAGTGATGATTACAATGTCTTTGTCTGCAGACTGCAGTAATGTTACTGGGAGGGGAGGAGCTGCATTTGGTTGCCATGGCTTCTAGGAAAAATGATGGAAGGTGTCTGTGTTTTTGGGGGTTTAACGTTGCGTTGGGACTTTACAATTCTTGTCTTGTGATGCTGAATCTTAGATGTCTTGGCATTGTATTTGATCTCGATGAAACACTTATAGTTGCAAATACAATGCGCTCTTTTGAAGATAGAATTGAGGGTCTGCAGCGGAAAATAAGCACTGAGGCAGATCAACAACGCATTTCTGGTATGCTCGCGGAGGTCAAGCGTTATCAAGATGACAAGATTATATTGAAGCAATATGCAGAAAATGATCAGGTAGTGGAAAATGGGAAGGTGATCAACTCTCAGTCTGAGGTTGTTCCTGCTCTGTCTGACAACTATCAACCTATTGTTCGCCCGCTTATACGGTTACAGGACAAAAACATAATTCTGACTCGCATCAATCCACAGGTATGTTTATATTAATTCTTCAATTTTACCCATGTTAAATCGTGGTGTCTCCTATTATCCTTTCGGAATTGCAACTCCCACAATGCTTACAATAAACATATTGATATGCACAAATGTTATTATCTGATAGTGTTGATGTCACTGATGAGGGAGAAACGGAATAATAGTTCTTCTCATAGTATGAATGAATAGATTTTGCTTTCTATGCCACACAATTCCTGGCAACACTTGATGGATGATTGGTTTTCTGATGGAGTCATTATTATAATAGTGACTTTTGTAATGTTACAAAACTTTTGTATTCTATAGATTCGTGATACAAGCGTTCTTGTGAGACTAAGACCTGCATGGGAGGACCTCCGGAGCTACTTGACTGCAAGAGGTAGAAAGAGATTTGAGGTTTATGTTTGCACAATGGCTGAAAGAGATTATGCCTTAGAAATGTGGAGGCTTCTTGATCCCGACTCAAACTTGATAAATTCGAAAGAGTTATTGAATCGTATTGTGTCTGTCAAGTCTGGTAAGCGTCTTATCCTCTTGTTTATGATTGTGTGAAACAACATATTCTATATATTTGTTGTACTCTTACCCTTCTAATTTTGAATAGGCTCAAGGAAATCATTGTTCAATGTTTTCCAAGATGGAATCTGTCATCCTAAGATGGCTTTGGTGATTGATGATCGTTTGAAAGTGTGGGATGAGAAAGATCAGCCTCGGGTGCACGTTGTTCCAGCATTTGCTCCATATTATGCTCCTCAAGCTGAAGTATTTACTACCTGGACTTAGTTATATTATTGAACCACAAAAACTATATAAATATACCCACACATACATGCATCTATGTGTATGTTATATGTATCTTGTTAAGGGATTATTAAATTTTTAGTGGCATGCACTTATCAGAACTCATTACATTGTAGGCAAATAATGTTGTCCCTGTCCTGTGTGTTGCAAGAAATGTTGCCTGCAATGTTAGAGGTGGTTTTTTCAGGTAATAATACGCAAAACTTAGAAAGATAATATGCACACATTCAAAACACCTTTGATTTCCCCCACTGGATTTGGTCTACAGTTTTTATTGGTTGATTTTGGATTCAATCTCTATGCAACGCATTCCTTTGGCATAACATGACCTAATCTTAACAGAGAATTTGATGATGGTTTGTTACAACGAATTCCTGAAGTAATGTATGAAGATGATATAAAAGATATTCCATCTGTACCTGATGTGAGCAATTATTTGATGTCAGAGGTTAGTTATTATTGGTTTCGTTGGCTAGTTATCTAGTTTTATTGGGCTTGTTGCTGTTCTAAATCACTGTAGTCATCATTTCCATGATTATGTAATTAGTTTATAGAGTATATAATATTCACTTAAATTTTGTGTAGTGATAGATTTTATTTGCTGCCCAGGATGATCCTTCAACTTTGAATGCAAACAAAGATCCTCTTGCTTTTGATGGCATGGCAGATGCTGAGGTTGAAAGAAGATTAAAGGTATTGTATCTTGTTGAGTTAGTGTTCTTAAACCCTTGGTTGATGTCTAATTCAACGTTATCTTCGGGATTTTAGTAACTCTATGTGAAAAGGTGTTTATTATTGATTGATAAAACTTATTGGAATTCTGAATGTGTTTCCCTGAACTTGTTTGTGTTATATATTTTTTGTCCATCTGAGTTCAAAAATTCATCATCTAGATGTGTATGTAAGGTGATACGAGTTTCTTTTTAATCGACTTGGTCATTCAGGATGCAATTTCAGCTTCCTCAACAGTCCCTTCGGCAGTCACTAACCTAGATCCAAGGCTTGCACCTCTCCAGTACACAGTGGCATCTTCATCCATCTCAATTCCACCGTCAACATTTCAAGGGCCAAGTATGCCCTTTCCTGGCAAGCAGTTACCTCAGTTGACTTCAGTTGTCAAACCATTAAGCCAAGTTGCCCCTCCAGAAGCTGGCTTGCAAAGTTCACCTGCTAGGGAAGAGGGTGAGGTACCAGAATCTGAACTGGATCCGGATACAAGGAGGAGGCTTCTCATTCTGCAACATGGGCAAGACACAAGAGATCATGGATTAAATGAACCTCAATTTCCAGTAAGACCCCCGGCACAAGTTTCTGTTCCACGCATGCAACCACGTGGAAGCTGGTTTCCTGTTGATGAAGAGATGAGTCCAAGACTACTGAACCAGGTGGCAGCACCCAAGGAATTTCCTTTAAATTCGGAGGCAATGCATATTGAGAAGCACCGAATTCATCATCCACCTTTTCTGCATAAGATGGAGAGTTCTATTCCATCCGACAGAGTTCTTGAAAATCAGAGGTTGCCAAAGGAGGTAACTGTTACTTGTGATGAGTCAATCCTATAGCCTTGAGTATTCATGCTTAAGAAAAACATTACATTGTGTTTGATAAATACTGATTTTACTGGATTATGTTTGCAGGCTTTTCAAAGAGAAGATCAGTTGAGGATGAATCATTCACTGTCTAGCTATCATTCTTTCTCAGGTAAACTATGTACTGTGGATAATTGCATGCAGAATTGACACGTACATTGTATAATCCCACGTTGAAGTTTGACGTCAAGGTTATATGACTCCTTTCCTAATGCTTGTATCTATGAAATGACAATCTAGCATTGGTAGAGCACATATTCAGTCCTCTCTTTCCCCTCCTACTGAGATAGGAGTTGTAAACCTTCTGTTGCATCATCAGTCAATTTTGATCTGATTGGTCATATCTGAATGTGGTTATAGAAGCATTGCCCGTATATGCATGACCTTGTGTGCTTGTGCATGCATGTATACAGTATTGCAGTTGTGTGCATATGTGGATCACTTCGGAAAATTGTTGTGTTTCGTTCAGTGTATTCAGGTTTGTGGATATGTCTTGTATTGTATGGGTATAAACTGTTCATATTCATCACAAGTGCAAGTTAGACTTGGCAAATTTCAAGAATGATATATTATTTTCAATGTAATTACGTTATATGTGCCACCTAAAAGTTAATGACTTTTCGTATACCACGTGAAACTTTTCTCTATTATGGAAGTCTTGATTAAGGATGCATCAAAATTATATAATAATTGTACATTTAGAGTATTGAACCCTTATCTTGGGTTGTAACTATGGTACTAGAAAACACTAATAACTTGGCAAATTACGTATTGGTATGCACATTCCAAAATATGGTACACTTATGTTTCAAAATGGTAAATTTAGTGATCTAAAACTATCCCAAAAGTTTTTTCCAATAAATTTCCTTAAATGGTTCCTTAGGAGGAAAAAAATCAAATATAATGAATTAAAATCTAAGGTAAGTTAAGTTTTGACAAGACAAAACATAAAAAATGGGTCATAGAACTCATAGAAATATTTTGCTACATGAAGAAGAAAAACTAAATTTTAGTAGATGCCTAATAGTTAAAAGAAAATTACTCTAAAAGTATCTTATATTCACAAGTATAATATATACAAGTCTATCCCTATCATATCACATTTTAGAGCATGTGGCGTACCACGTTTCCATTCCCCATACTGGAACGATCCACATTCCAAGTAACATTGAGTTGTAATGATGTTATATATGCCACCTAGAAGTTTTCTCAGCTATGGAAGACTTGATTAAGGATATATCAAAATTATATAATAATTGTACACTTAGTATTGAACCCTTATCTTGGGTTTATTAAGCAGTCAGACATGTATAATGATGAAAACCAAAATTAAGCTTGACTAGAGCTATTATTATAAGCTAGGTGGTCTTCTTGTCCCATGTACCTTATAAAAGGTTTGCAATAGACTTTAAGGCTTAAGCATGTATCACCTTTGCTACATTAGCTCATGAACTTGATAATAAGCGCTTTCCCATTTCCATATCTTGCTTTTTCTCTCTCAACATGGAGTGTGGAGTGTGCGCAAGCTTGCACTGCCTTCTATAACAATGGAATTTTTTCGGTTAAATATCATGAAGTAAACGACTAATTTTTTCCTAAGCTTATCTTTCTCCATTGAAGAAATAAGATCATTCAGTTTTGAACTTTAATAATTTTTGTATCTTCTAATTCTCTTCTTACGGATATCTAGAAAAGCTCTTGCTTCATGTTGTCAACTGAAGTTATTGAACGAGTCAGACTATTGTATATTAGCCTAATAGACAGTCAATGCCACTTTTTTTAGTAGGGAATAAGAAAGATGACCGTAGATAGTTACATGGACTGCTGGAAAAAAAGAAGGGCTTTAATGGGCCAAAATTAACAATACATTTGAGGCCCAATGACAGGTGAGGTAGCCTTGCCTCTAGGCTAACTAAGGTGGTCATGCCACGCGCCTATAACAATTGACGGATGGGGAGACAGCAGCAAAAAGGCTAGAGTGATAATAGTGGATAGTGTGTTCTGATAACATTTGATGGCCTTTGTTGCTGATAAAATTAAAATGAAAATTTGTTGGCCCCGATTTGTTGAACTGATGCATAATATCGCCGTGCTCTCTCTCATTTTTTTGGTTAGTGAATAGCTCAAATTCGATAAACATGGCATAATATTTATTTATTTTTTTCCCATGGGAACAATTCTTCTTTTTCATCTATATTTAACAAAAAAGGTAAAGTACATAATTTAATAGGTGGCAAATTGATGACTGTTGGATGTCTAGAAGCAATTGTAGAAGTTAATGGAAAGTTTAATTGGCCCTTTTTATACCATTAAGATTAACAAACATAATAGGTAAGAATATTGACTCCTTACAAATTTATGAATACATTACATCTTTCATGAGAATTTGAGGACTACAATAATGGATTAAAACAGATTTACCTTATTTGAAGAAAAAAAAGAAATTTTCTAATTTGACATTTACTGATATGAGGAAAGAAGACATCTTTCAGATTCTTTATAAATATATCATCTCTTTTTAAGTTTCAAAATTATCATGAGATACGCAAGTTGACATGACCTATATTTCAGATTGGAATGACCTTTTTTGGTATTGAATAGCAAAATCGGATATGTTTAGCTGATTCGAAGTAGTTTTTAGCCTTTATTGGGTTTACATTTAATTAGAACCCGTTGGAGTGTCTAAACCCAGTTATTCTCTATAGCTAAACATTCAAGTTGTTGTTGTTGAGTTGAGTGCCTAATAAGGACAACCGTTGTCTTTAAACCCAATTGTGTTTGGTAGTCTAATTGGTTGTTTGGCTTGTGATATAATTTATCCATGTGATCCAATTTTAAAATCTTCACTGTAGGATTATACATGTTTTCATTTTCTTGAAAGTGTTTGGGCTGGAGTGTTTTTTAACCTAGTGATGTTTGACTAAGTAAATCTCTGCCAGAGCTGGTTCACCAGCAAGGACACGTGGTCTTTTGTTATCCTGTTACTTTTAGTGAAGAGTGTTATGTCAAACTCTTATCGGTCATTGACTCTTCGTCTCTTGACAAATGCTTATAAAGTTGCAGTTTTGATGTCATTATTAGACATAGTTTTTTAAAAACTGATGCAGTGCCTACCAACATTGTTACAGTCATTAAAATGTTCATGGATTAATTTTTTATTAAATTTACTAGCAGTTAACGTATCAATATATATATGCATGACATGGTACCAGTTGAATTTCTCTTGTTGGATTGGGGTGGGGAGCTTAAATATTACTCGTAAACCTCTATTGTGTATTTGATTGCAGTTAGCGTCCTGATGTTTGTAGTGGTTGGGCTGACCAAGATCTATGTTATGGATCATTTAGGAATGTGGAACATAAACAGGATTGTCGTTTAATTTATCCCAAAAAAAATAAACAGGATTGTTGTATGCCACATATGATAGTTTTAGGCTCTGAAAATTACTTAGACCTGATGTGCTAAGGTATTTGTACATGTGGGATGGATGCTTTTTTTTTCATCTTTTTCTTTCTTTCTCTTTTTGACAAGCAAATGAATGATGAAATATAATACCATTAAATGCACATTTGATGTGCTACGGCCTTTTCTTCATTTTTTCTTATACAAAACTTGCTCTTATGAGATGTGAAGACATTTATAAAAAAAATTCTTTCGGAAAGGAAAAAATAAAAAATTAAGGAGAATAACAAGAAAAATTGAATTGCTAAATTTCCTTTTTTCAACAAAAAGTGACCCATGTTTTGTGGTATGTGTTTTTAAATACATGACTGTATTAGCATTAATTGTGACTTATTAACTGCAATACTGAAATGCATGCCTTGTTCTCAAGCTGTAGACTTTTTTAATTTGTTAGATTCAATGCTTCTTGGGAAATCCCTTTTCTTACTACCCTTGTCCCTTTGAATTTATCAATGATGCAAAGTCCGCATTTTATCTATTATTAAGAATAATTTTTAAGATAGCATCATCTGACATAATGCCTTTGATGATGCTACTCATTCTACGGTGTCTGGTCATTGATCTCTGTAACACTATTAGCAAGCATGAGTTTTCATAATCCAATGCATGATTGATAGCATGTGTAGAAAATGATTAATATCACGATTTTAAAAACTTTTCCATGCCAGTGGTAGAAATTGAACTTCAGTTCTTCTGGAGAACAATAATATTCTTTCTTTGAACTATTGTTTAAAACTTGAAGATCAAATTAAGATTGTCAAACCAAATGTTATTTCCTACATGGTTTGTCTATTCTCCCAAGCTCATATAATTGGAGTTTGCTTTCTGCTGAAATCTTATTTTGTTATTGACTTCTACTTTTTGATATTCGTGTTTTTATGAGCTTATGGAGATGTTGAAATAGATTTGGGAGCTAATCTATTGGTGATTCTTGTCTTCTTGAAACACTTGCCCTCTTGGTTTATTTATTTATCTAACTTATGACTTTATGTGGTGATATGGATGTTATATAATTGGTGTTCTTCTTTGAAGGTGAGGAGGTTCCCTTGGGTCGATCATCCTCCAGTAGCAGGGAGCTTGATGTTGAACCTGGACGAGTTGATCCTTACACTGAAACTCCTATTGGGGCTTTACAAGATATTGCAATCAAGTGTGGTACCAAGGTATTAAGAATAGGAAGTTATATATTTCCTTTTCTGGTGTGCTAAAAGAGGTGTTAGAATGGTTTTAAGTAACGGTATCGGAATATGTATCAGTATCAGCGATATGGTTCATACATCGGTCAATATCGGCCAATATATCTTTGAATAATGGTATCGGAAGTTCAAAATCCCGATATGCAACAGTCGATACGATACGTAACAGCCGATATTTAAAACCATGGGTGTTAGTTTTGTAACTCAAATTAGGCCCATCATGTATATATTTATTCTATTTTTGTTATGTTCCACCTAACTTTTATTTTTATTCCTGATATCAACAATTATAGGCGGAGTTCCGATCAGGTTTGGTTTCAAGCACGGAACTGCAGTTCTCCGCTGAGGTGGTTTGAACTCTTCATTCACTTGTTACTGCTACATGGCTTCATTAATTTGAAGTTTGGAGTTTTGACTTTCAACTTTCGAGTTAGATTAAGTTTTTTCTTTGCACCTTATTGGCAACTTCTACCTTATTTTGAGTGAATCCATGCATTATGTGCATCTCTTAAGTATAGCCCCGCCCGCTGATGCAGTGCCTACCAACATTCAAAAAATCACGACCATTATAGCCACTGAAACTTGATTATATCGCCTATATATCTGTAGTGAAAGATACATTCTTTAAGCTGCTAATGTCATTTATTGTCTTGTTGCAGGTCTTGTTTGCAGGAGAGAAAATTGGTGAAGGAAATGGCAGGACAAGAAGGGAAGCCCAGCGTCAGGCTGCTGAGGGATCTCTCATGAATTTGGCCGGTAGGCTTTTCTATTATTGTCTGTAATTATGCTCTCTTTTTTTAAAATTTATTATTATTATTATTTTAGTGCAGAGGATGATTGGACATAACATTTACTTAGGGTCATGAGAATTCGGGCAGTCAGTTATAAGAGATTTCATGCACTTGTGTGTTTAATACTTAATAGATATGTTTGTGTTGCAAAAAGTGTGTAAAACAATTGGATGATTCTCATTTCTCTCTATCTTGGACGATGTTTTTTCAGATAAGTATCTGTCACGTCTCAAGCCTGATTCCAGCTCTGTTCATGGGGAGGGGAGCAGGTATTCTAACGCAAATGCCAATGGTTATGTTAATGACGGTAGTTCTTTTGGGTATCAGCCTTTCCTCAAGGAGGAGTCTCCTTCATTTTCAAGTGCATCAGAGCCACCCCGGGTTCTGGACCCAAGGCTGGTGGGCTCCAAGAAATCAATGGGTTCAGTCTCTCCACTTTCAGAATTTGTAAGATTCAATTAAATAAGTACAGTAATTATGATATACAAATAGAAAGTTTATACAGAATTTTCATACAGAATGATGTGGCTCAATGTAGATTTTTTACTTGAAACTAAACACCCATGAAAAGATGACCTTTATTTACGAAAATGGTATTGACACATCATTCTTGTGATTTTTTTGTACAAATTTTTGGTATGGATGGAGATTTCCAAATGAGTATTGTTTCTTTCTGTGTTTATACATTTGTTTGTAGTGCTATAAGCATAATGTTTTTGCCATTGATATCCCAAAAATCTATTTTTTGTTTCTTTTTCTTATTTGATTTCTATAAACCTTATTCATTTATAAACTGAAGATGCTTTTTCCTTAGGCTGACGAAAAAGCTCTTGGAAGTCTAAAATCCACATTTGGTCAATTTTCTCAAAAACGTCAGGGTTCTCCAAGGTTAGTGATGATGCCTGTTGCTAGTGTTTCCTTACAAATAATTCTTTTCTACTTTCATGTGAATTTTCTGGAATATCATGAAAATGGAAAGAAGGGAAAAAATTATAAAATTATGGAGAATTAAAAATAATTGCAATACGAGGGAATCCAACTATGAAATGATAAAATCCGCCCTTCTCTCTCCCTCTTCAGCCCCATCCCCCACCAACCCAACCTGTCACTGCACCAACCCCAACCCACCCCCAACCCACCCCTGCCTGCCACGTACCCCCTCCTACCACCACCACCGCCGCCACCACCACCGTGACACCCCAACCCTTCCCTGGCCCTCTCCCCACGTCACTGCAACACCCCAACTCCCTCCCCACAACACCGTAACACCCACAACCCCCTTCTGAAACCCTAGATCTTCAATTTCTCTCTCATTGCGATCTCCCTCATGGTGGGTGGCTGGGGAAGGATGGGGTTGGCACAAAGTGTCAAAAACACCTTCTGTATGCAATTATTTTCTAACTTCCACCCCTACTGTAATTATTTTTGTTGCTCCACCTATTTGCAATTATCTCCCCTATTTCCATTTTTTTTTATAGGAAAGCAGATAAGCTTTCAGCTTTCTTCTAGATTTCTCTATTTTTTCTTTGCTTTCCATAAGCAAAATAAAGTTTAGATGAGTAATCTTTTGTTTTGTATTCATTAGGCTTCCATCGATTCCAAGCTGGCATAGATCACCATTGCCTTCTTAATTCAATCCACTAGTTTAAAGCTTGATTGTTTATGTGGAGCAGGGCATTGCAAGGGATGTCAAATAAGAGATTCAAGCCAGAGTATCCCCGGGTTTTGCAGCGGATGCCATCTTCCGCTAGATATCCAAAGAATGCTTCATCTGTACCTTGAGAAGCCAGTACATCCTTCTGTCCCTTATTTCTGGCGTAGCTAAACAACTTGTAACATACATGGCACATCTAGAAGCAAGCGCCTTGATATCCGTCTCCAGTTAAATTGGCTCACTTCAGAGACCCCTTAAACACATCGGCACCTCATGGGATCAAATTGTATTGACCTAATTTCAAAATTCTCTGGGAGATAGGAGAGAACCAAGATGTTTTTATATGGGTCATCTGGGGAGTGTTGTATCAGCTTTTTTGTGTCAAGATGTTTAAATCCCCTCGAGGCGGTGTTGCCAGGTAGAACCTGACTTCTCTTTTCTTGGATGCTGCCATCAGTGCGGTTGTTGTTGGGAGATACTGGAATTTAATTTTTGCAAGTGTTGATGTATAAAGCAGAAATTATCAGAATTTGATGTTGATCTCCAAGGTAGCTACTGGTTTTTCCCCAGAGTATATACTAACCCATGGAAGGCTTCATTGCAGCTCAACGGACTCTTACCCCCCGTCTTGTTTTTTTTTCCTCCTATTTTTAGTGGCTCTTCACTGGTTAGAAGGTATAGAGATTGTGAAGTTGAATTTGCACAGTTACGTATTATATATTGAGCTGGTGAAACAGTTTTTTCATTTGACGTAATTAAATGCCTGGAATTTTTTTGTATTGCTTAGGCATATTTGTTTCATCGAAAAAGAACACCTTTCACTTGGAATTTCATTACATATTGCTTAGGCATGTTTGTTTCATCAAAACGGAGCACCATTTGTTTTGGGTGTGTTTTCAAATTTCAAATGCATCACAAAAATCTCGTAAAACATAAATTATAAGTTGCAACGATAGTTGACAAGATCAACTATCGGTGCAGTGAGGAATTTTCTACATTGTTAGTGTTTTTGTTTTTGGATAATTAACCATGGTTAGTGTTGCTTTTCAAATGAACTGTCTTTATGAGAAGGTGAGTTGTTTTTTGGTTCTTTTTGAGGTGAGTTTATTTGCAAAGCAACACAATTTGTGATGCGATGAGATGAGTCTAATTGCACATATCAAGATCACGTAAACATTTGTATGCCTAGCACTTTTGTTTGTGATGGCATATATACTGTAGTGCAAGTGGCATAAAATTTGGCAGCAATTGTAGAAAAATGGAATTAGAACAAACTAATTGATAATTGGTTTAATTAGAAAAAAAAATTCAAGGTTTGAGTTTTAAAACAAAATAAATCATGATTTTTCAATTTTATCAGTTTAAATTTTATATCTTTTAATTTATTTTCAATTTAAACCATTTGTTTATTTTCGTTAGGTAAAACCGATATAAAAAAAAATATTTTCATTAAGCTCATAAACATAATTGTCTAAAATTATTATTTTTCATTGAATTTAATGAATAAAATATTATTTTTTTCGTAGATTTTATTTAACGAAAATAGGCAAATGATTTATATTGAAAACAAATCAAAAATTTAAGATTTAAAATGATAAAATTAAAAACTCACGGTTTAATTTGTTATAAGGGTCAAATTCTAGTTTTTTTTAAAAAAAAATTATTTATAATTTTCCCTTAATAATTCAATGGAAGAATAAAAAGTAATTACACATTATAAAATGACATAAATAAATGGAAACTTTTATAAAATTATAATATTACCATTTCCTTCTCTTTCCTCTCCCCTTCTTCTTGATGGTGGCGGCATCCCTTACCTTTCCTCGGTCACCTTCAATTCTTCCCCTACCTTTCTCTGGCCACCCATCTTCTCCCTCGACCTCCTAGCCAACCCCATGGAAAAGGTTTGATTTGTGTGTTTTTTTTTTTACAATTCGAAAAGAATATCATGTCATTTGTTATAAATGTACGAAAAATTACACTCATATTTATTTATAATTTTTATTTTATGTTAATTTGGTTTTTATAATTTTAATTACATTAATTATAACTTTCATTTTTTTACATTGTATCAATTAAGTCCAAATAATTGTGTTCTTTTAGAAAGTAGATTGGTATTAAGAGACAAAATAATTAATTCACTCTCATTACAGTGATTGAAGAATTGCATTAAATTTAAATTGGTCCATTCCTTTTTAAATTGATTATTTTATGATTGATTTTGGTCTAATTTTCAAATGACTGTTATTAATTAGATTAAATTGATATTGTGGAGATATATTTTTTAGATTTTAGCACACACAAATGAATTTGGAGTGCCTGTTGTGTCCTAACACAGCTGTGTTGCCTTATGGGCTAATTTTGGGGCCCATTTTATATATCTGTAAAAAATTAAGTTAATTGAATGTTGTTAATTCTTTCATCTATTCACATTTGTATCTTCAAAAATAAATAACATTATGATTTAAAATATTAAAATAAATATTTTTCTCAATTTTGACCCCATTTTTCTTAATTGTTAGAAATTCCAATTTGGGGTTTTTATTGATAAATCTTATTTAGAAGTGTTCTAACCCAAGAAGTCCATGAAGGAAATTTATAACTCACTTAATCCTATGTATTTATACCTTTATTCCATAAGGTCATTTTTCTTGATTTACATTATTTTCTTAGACTCTTATATCCTTATATTAATGTTGATATGCATTAACTACACACTACTATTTAATGTTGATAGACATTACACACAAAAAATTAAACATGATTCTTTATTGATTGTCATTATGTTTTGATAGTTCCTATGCATCATAATGTTGATTGTATGTGATGACGTGAATGTCCAAATCAGATGACGTGAATGTGAATGTTCACATCAGATGATGTGAATGTTCACACTAAAACACATGAATGTGAATACAAATGTTAATGTTCATAATGTTAATATCAGAGACGTGAATGTTCATATTAAAACATATGAATGTGAATGTTCACATGAATTCTGGTGTTTTAGTGTGAACATTCACGTCATGTTTATATTCATATGAACATTTACATTTATATGTTTTCGTGTGAACATTCAAGTCATGTTTATATTCAAATGAAAGTTGAGGCTTATGGTTATGTAATTTGAGTAATTTGATGCAATGTTGATGTGAACCTTGACATCACCTTTATCACAAAATCATTTGATGTGAACATTTACGTTATCACGTACAGTCAACATTTGAATGCATGAGAACTACCAAAACATAACGACAATCAATAAAGAACTATGTTTAATTTTGTGTGTGTAATAAATAGTGGTTTGTAGTTAATGTATTTTTTTGAAGTGAAGATATAATGACAATCAATATTAAATATCAACATTAATTGGGGCATGAGAGATTTAGAGTGTTTTGGTCTTCTTATCTTAAATAGGACCTAATAGAATAGTAAAAAATAATATGAGTTTGATAGAATAAAACTCTTAGGAAGGGAATTTATCAAAAAAAAAAAGCTACCTTTCAATTTTGATGACAGCTAAGAAGAAAAAAATTGTCCCAAAATTTTAGAAAAAAATATTAAACAAAAGAGAAAGAAAAAAATAAAAAAATCTAATACACATCTCTTGTAAGTACACTATTCCAAATACACACAACTTGCAAACTTAACTATGGCCTTGGTAAACCCATTTTGAAATTAATTCTGGTGATTTGAACTGTTTATTTTTTTTAGATTCGTTGAGTAGAATATTCATATAAAAATCAAGATGATTCGATATCAGTAACTACATGTTTGAATCATATTTGTTTTAAAAAATAAACGACAAATATAATTTTAAGAATAACCATCCATTTTTTTGTAATACAAATTTGATTCAAATATATAGCTACCAATGTCCAATCATCTTATTTTTTACATGAATATTCTATTTAATGAGTCCTAAAATATAAATGATTTGAATCATCGAAACGAAACATAAGGTGAGCTCTGTGGGCCTTTCAAATTCTCTCATGTTGAGATGTGAATATGAGAGAAACTTACTCCTTTAATTTTTCTTAGTACTCCCATTTTAAAACAAAAATTATTCCATTTCTAATCTTCTAAATCCCAACTTCTTATCCATATGTATCACTTTCAACCACCACATCTTTTGCTCCATTGCCTATCATCTCTACCTCTTCTCATTTTTCCCTAGCTATTTCTATACACTTTCTTCAATTTCTCATAACTTTCCATCTCTTTAACATTCTTCACCCCGTAGCTTTCTTCATATATATATATATAGCATAATAATGAATTTGGAGCAATGAAAAAGCGTTGGAAGAATGAGAGAGAAGGTAAGTAACAACATAATAAGATAAAGAACAGGATGGCCAACGTCAAGATGGGCAAAGTGCGACAAAAAATAGATGAGCGAAAGGCTATAAAGATAAGAGGGGTGTGAGGCGTCATGATAATGACAAGTAGAGGAGAATGGAGTAGGCTGGTGACCAATGGAGATTAATGAGGTAGAAAATAGTAATTGGAAAGGAAATGATATGCAAATCGATTTTAATATTATAATTTTGTTCTTGATAAAAAAAGATTCAATATATAAATATCTTTTTTAATTATTCACAAATATCATTTTTTTTATTATCTATTAACTGATACATTTGACTCATCTTATCTTAACTATAAAAACCATAAACCCAAAGACGTTCTCTCAAACCTGTCGTTTGGTAACACTTGGTCTGTTTGGTAGCGTTTACGTTTTCAGTTTATATTTACAAAAATTTTATAAACTGATTTTTGTTTATTTTTAAAAAAACATAAACTACAAACGCGTTTGGTAATTGACAAAATGTTTAAAAAATTTTAAAAATATAAAAAAGAGTGAGAAATGGCAAGTGGTGACAAGTGGCGGCGAAAGACGGTGGTGGAAAGTGGTGACGGTGGGTAGCTGGTGGTGGTGGGTGGGTGGTGGTGGTGGCGGATGGGTGGGTGACGGTGGCGGATGGGTGGTGGGTGGCAGCGAGTGGGTGGTGGTGGTGGTGGGTGGGTGAC